TCAAAAAGCAACAGATTATGTTTGCACTGGAATCTGGGCCACATTCTCAGGTATTCAAAGCTACTTCTTCATAGTCTTTGCCTTTCATTCTAATTTTAAGCATGTTACTAAATACAAGTTGAAATTTCTTCTTGATGCCAATAACATAATGATAGTTTGGCTCTAACATGCCTGGTTATTCTTCAATTTTCTAGGATGGTCTGAAAACTAGCATTTTATACTCTGTATACCACTTAATGTAAAATCGACAGGTATTTAAATCAAAATTAAACAAAAGTATCTTAAATAGAGATTACACTTTTGTATCTACAATTTCCCAAGGTGTTAGTTATTACCTTGAATCAACTTTATTATGTACATAATTTAACACATATTACAGCCTTTCCATTGACAGGACTGATCTTTACTAGATCACTATATGGATTTTTAGAAGCAAAATATTTTGTATGGTCAACTATGTAATTTCTCATCCTGAAGAATCTTAACAAATACATAAATCTACACGTTACTGTATAAATACATGCTGGTAAAGTGGCATGAGCCATCCATGGACAAAGATAAGCCAGTTATGTGTTCTAACAGTCCAAGAAGAGCATCTCTGTAGTGTTCAGAATCACACACTAATAGAAACAATGAGAAACTCAAGTATGTTCAGGAAAGACCTCTAAACTTTCAAACCATACTTCATGAGTAAGAGGTATGAACATGGGAATGCTTGATCTATAAGGGGGGAAAAATCATAGGCTCACAACTTATGGGTAATTAAGTTACCTGAAGACTACCATTATCTTAAAAATCAGACTTGTTCTGTCAACCAGAATTACATTTAACAAGAGAAATCAGTAAAATGGCAACTATCTTTGAACTGACAGTCAAAAAAAAATTGAGTCTTCCAGACTATTACAAATCAGTATGATAGAAATGGTAGGTGATCTATTACTTTGTATATAAAATTCAGAGTACCAAAATGGATAGATTCTAAGGTAATTTTCAGATTTAAAAAGTCTCAAGAGTTGTTTTTGGGGTCTTCTATGTAGAGTATCATGTCACTCACAAATAATTCTTCCTTTATAAATATATTCATTTGCTGCTTCTAATAGCTCTAATATTTCCAGAACTATATTGAGTGGTGACAGTGGATATCCTTTTCTTGTTCCTCATTTTAGCATCAAATTTCAGGTTTTTTTTTTTTTTTTTTTTAAATCGGTACCAGAGATGGAACTCACGACTGTGCGTTTGCAAGGCAGGTGCTTATGCCACTGAGCTAAATCCCCAGCCCCCCAGTTTTTCTCCATTTAGTATGATGTTGGTTGGCTGTTGGTTTGGCTTTCATCAGATTAAGATAAGAGACCATCTAGTCCAATTTTTCTATAGGGTTCTTATCATGAATGGATGTCGGACCTTGTTAAATGCCTTTTATGCACCTACTGAGATGATCATGTAGTTTTTGTCCTTGGCTCTGTTAATGTATTACTCATTGATCTGCAAATGTTGAATCATCCCTGCATTCCTGGGATGAATCTTACTTCTAGATTTAATAATCAAATTTAGTAGGGTAGCTAGATAAAAGTCAACACTCAAAAAGCAAAAGCCTTCCTATATATGCGTAACAAACTGAGAGAAAAATTAGGGAAATGACATCTTTCATAATAACAATAAAACACAGTTAGGAATCAATCTAAAAAGGAAGTAAAAGATCTCTACATTGAAAACTATGGTACTCTGAAAAAAAAAGAGACTAAAGAGGACTAAAAGGAGACTAAAGATATCCCTTGTTTTTGGGTAGGAAGAACCAATACACTGAAAATGGCCATGCTTCCAAAATTATTATACAGGTTTAATGCACCAATGGCGTATCTCAAGAAATTAGAAAAAAAAAAAAAATCCTAAAATTCATTTGGAACCACAAGAGACCTAAAATAGCAAAGGCAATTCTGGACAAAAAGGCTAGGAAAAAGGCATCATAATCCCTAACTGGCAATTACACTACAAAGCTACTGTGATAAAAATAGCATGGGGGGGGGACGACAGAGTTGAGGATCAATGAAACAAATTAGAAGATGCTCAAACAACTCCAGATATACTTAGCCAACCTTATCTTTGACAAAGTTGCTGAATACCTTCCCTGGTAGAAAGGTAGCATCTTTAATAAATGGTATTGGAAAGCAAACATTCCACATGTGAAAGACTAAACTAAAAAAATCACAATGGATCAAAGATCTAAATATTAAAACAGAACCATTAAACCTGCCAGTAGAATATGTAGAACTCTTGGAGATATTGATATAGGAAACCACATTATGAACAAAACCCAAATCACACAGAAATTAACACAAAGAATCAACAACTAGAATCTCACCTTGTATTAAAAAAAAAAAAAAACTTTTACTCAGCAAAAGAAACCAGCAAAGACAACCTACAGTGTGGGAAAAAAATTTTTTGTTAGCTGTTCCTCAAAGGACTACTATCTAGAAAATGTAAAAACCTCAAAAGAAAAAGAAAAAAGAATCAGATCCCCAAAACTTAAAGACCCAATCCAAAAATGGGCATCTGAAATAGACTTCTCAGATGAAGTAGAAATGACAAAAATATGAAACAATGTTCAACATCACTAGTCACTTGAGAAATGCAGATTAGAGCAACACTGAGATTCTATCTCACTTCAGAAAGAACAGCTATCACCAAGAAATCAACCAGTAACAAACGCTGATGGGGCTGTGGGGAAAAGGAACCCTTTACAGTTGCAGAGAGTGTAGATCTGTGCAACCACTGTGAAAATCAGTGTGGAGAGTCCTCAAAAACTAAAATTAATTTTAAAAAAACAAACTAAAATTAGAGGTTCCATCCCACCCAGGTATTCCTTCTTGGCATCTTCCTGAAAGTCACTTGAGACTAAAAGCATCATATCACAATGATACACATGCACCCGTATCTACAGTAGCACAGTTCGTAACAACCAAATGTTGGAAACAGTCCGAGTGTGCATCAACTGATGAACCGATAAAGATGATGTGGGTTTTTTAAACAATGGAGTGCTATTCTGCCATAAATGAAGGAAAGTTCGAGACATTTCTAGATAAATGGAGGCACCTTGAGACCATATTCTAAACTGAAATAAACTGGACATGTGTGTAAATATCACATTGTTTCTCTGGTGTGAGAAACTGAAAGTGTAAAGAAGGATCAAAATATGTAATAGATTTTGTGAAATAGGAATAAAATGCTCAAATGAGAAGGGAAACTAGGGAGGAAGGAGGGACAAAGAAATAGGGAAAAAATGGAAAAGCTTTAGCAAATGAGGGGAACAGGTGGAAGGACGGTAGGCAAATGGGGTAAAAAAAGAATCAAGTTATATCACATACAGGTACAAATTCCCGATAATGAACGTGATCATCATGTATACCTAAAATGCACCAATAAACGTAATTAAAAAATAATAAAATAAAAGGGCATAGGAACAAATTCTGGATCGACTTCTTCCCATTAGACCATCCTGAACATGAAACCACCTACCTCATAAAATGATGCGCTGATTCACTAATTCAAACCAACATTATTGTCTTACATAAAGAGGGGAGTGGAATAAAGAGCAAATTCCTTTAACTAAAGCCAAATGTTCACAAGCTGGAGTTCTTATAAAAAGAACTCATGGTATAAGATTACTGTGTTTTGTGTTACCACACATAAAATAAATTATACAAGAAATTTAATTCTAGGGGAAAAATCCTAATTCATCCATATTCAATGCTGCAATTTCCTTTATTTTTAGATATACTCAGAATTATACCAACACTCAACTCTCTGGTCCTAATATTCTTTAGAGAATTAACACTACTGTCTCATTTCGATAATACGTGTAATAGACAGTAATATTACTTCTGTGTTGAGAATAAGACTTCCAAGTTAGTGTTGTTATAAAATTTCTTACATTAGTTTCTCATACAAAATAAAAATTAGTCAACAGACTATTTTCTAAGCCCCAGGTTATCATTTAATAAAAACAGGTGTACACAGCCAAAATGAATCCAGGCAATACAGACTACGTATGCAGCATTTCACATGAAGTGTAGTATTTTAGTGCTCAGGGCTTAAGAAACATTAAATTAAATATAGATCATAGATCCTTTAAGAAAGCAACAGAAGCAGATGCCTTGTAATAACAAAGGCAATGTACATACAAAGAATACAGCACCTACATTTTTAAATGCACCCAAAGTTGAGCAAAGACATATTTGTGGTTTGTCTGTTTCTAATCTCTAGAAGTTTTAAGAGCAATTATTTTGATAATTCTACATCAGTCTAAAAATACAAGCTTATTTGTTTTCGTTTAATGTGTCATCAGACATTATGCTGAACATACTTTGAACACTTTTCTATCTATGCCATACCTTACCTCTTGAGCAGAGATCCCTTGATCATAATTTCTGAAAATTCCGATGCATACTTAAAAATAATCTAATTGCGTTAGATATAAATACACTAGTGGAGAAAAAAACTCCAGAGCAGCTATATATTTTTGAAACATGAATTTTTCATGTTTTAAGAGTAAAGTAATATGAAATCTTTTTAACAGAAAACAAAAATAACTGAGTTAAAATAAAGGAATTGCTTAGGATGTCTAAGTACTGACTGTTGCTCTACTGTTTCAATAAAGCAGAGAAAATTAAGATATGTGCATGTACATATTTAAATAAAGCTAAAAAAAAGTCAGTACTTTGCAGTCACCTTGCTTGTGACTTTTTAAAAAAGCTACCAGAGGGGCTGGGATTTAGCTCAGCGGCATAAGCGCCTGTCTTGCAAGCAGGCAGTTCGATCCCTGGTACCGATAAAAAATGAAAAAGACAAAAAAGAAAAAAAAAAAAGCTACCAGAACAGGAGAAGCATTGTTTTCATACTAAATAACTATAGTATAAAAATCTGTTTTGAGTGTTAATCTAATAAATGATGATGAAGCCGTAAGTTTATGTTCTTAAACCTCAAAGATACAAGTGTGAGCCAAGTTCAACATTCTATAATATTTTTATTTTGAAGGCTATTGGTGGTGTAGGAAAGAGTTCATGTTTAATAAAAATTACTCACTTAAAACTCTCAATTCACCATTACCATTGTAATGCTCTTCAAGGTTTTCATGTAGGATATTTTCCACCACCCCTCACCCTTTTGTATACACATAAGAAAGGTTTGTAAATTTTGTTGTATTCACACAAAATACAGCTTTCTACTGAAATATATTATCTGTAAACCATTTAACAGCTTTAACTCTAAAAATAAAATTCTGTCCACAGAATCTTTAACATCTTTTATAAACTTACCAGAGTAAGAAAAAAAATTTGACTTTCCCTCTTCTCCATTAGTTACCCCAAATCATGATTTCCTTTTATAAATTATCTTTTCTTAGACTAAGAACCCAACTATTTTCATTTTAATCTGTACATTGTCACTAATTAATTCAATTCTTATTCCTTATGTAGGACTCTATCTTAATATTTACTTTAAATTTTTAGAGTCCACTTCTTATATAACTTTTCTTCAAATTAAAAAAGAAATTCTCTTGCTTCTATCAAAAAAAAACTAAATTGTCCCAGTGGCTTTAAGTTTATGCAATCATATAGACAAAAATCATTAAAATTAAATTTTACCCTTTTTTGTACTGTATTGATAAGGTTAAAGCAAGAGACTCTAAAGTTAAGACTCCTTTTGCAGTTATTTGTTCAAGCAGAACATTCAAATATAAAACATTTTTCTCTTGGCAACAACAAGAATTGGGTAGTTCTCCAATCAGCATTATTTTCAAATGATTTTTTTGGGGGGGGCATAGAGATAGCATGCTATTTTGTAAGAGATTACATTTTAATCAACCTAGCCTTAAAATATTTGACCAATTACTCCTGATATTTACAGTATCAATTCAATTAATTATTAAAACTTTTTGCTAAAAAAAACACAGAATGGTATTCAGAAACTCTGAGAAAGACACAAAGTTAAAATACACTTCAATATTGTTGTAGTTTTCACTTGCTATCCTGAAACAGAAATAAGTCATTTATCAGTAAGTGCATTTTTTATGGAGAAAATATTTATTAGTTTTCAAATGATCACATAATACAAACATTACACATTTAGTCATTCTAGAAAAATTAGCTTATATTAATATTCATAAAATAAACACTGAAAAATATTGGGCTATATATTGTGACAAAATTATTTTTAAAAATCTGAAAGGAAAATGCATCAAAATAAAAGTTTAAACAAATCAATTCACATTAATATACAAAAAGTTTCACTTTCAAATAGTTTGCAGTGGCATGAGGTAAAGAGAAATGCACTTATATTTCTTTTGCACATTTTAATGAACAGCTAAATTTAATTAAAGTATAGGATTAAGATACTAAATCACTTCATCCTCAAAGCTTAATCAAAAAGCTAATAATGTTACAGGCCATAAAACGGTTTGTACTGAACCATAGTTCAAAAATTCAACTTCATTTCTAAGCAAATTTCACTTTCAATTCTCTCAGTCTTTCTGAAATCTTAATTTTTTTTGCTTAGTATATATGTGTTTGTAAACCAATTGTCTTATTAACAAAAACAACTCAAAAAAGTTTTAATCATTAATAGGAATTAAGAGCTCTCTGAGAAACGTTTAATTCCAACGGATCTTTTAAACTTAGTTTAAGTACAATATTTATGAAAATTTATTTATAATCAATGAGAAAAAAAAAGTTCTCATAGTAAACCAAAGAAAAATAAAGGGCAGGTTATATTTTACCAAATGTGGCTTCTGAAATCTTGGAATTTCTAAAACATGTTAGCTGTTTCCATATTAGTAACTCTAGAATTTCTCTTCAAATTTGTACAAAGTATCACAAACTGACAGCACCTAATTAGTTTTTTAAATTTCTTTAATAGCTTTGGACTGACCAATTAATAGATACCAAAGAAAAATACAAACATTCTGATAACTACTATTTATCATTAACTTACAGTTTGGGTAAACCTAGTATGCAACACTTACTCAAATCTACACACCTGTTCTAATGCTATGGATTGCCTTCGCTCTGTAAAACAACTGCTTTGTGTCAGTATCACTTAAATTTTAGTACGCTTTCCATGCAGACCAATACTGCAAGTTTAACATTTATTTTTTCATATAGAAGACAGATAAAATTACTTAAACTCAAAAGATGTCTCTTGTACCCTACAATCTTCATTAACTTTGACAAATATAGTAAGGTTCAAGAGCAGCAAAAGATGAGCTAAAGGAATATATCTTAAAAGTTTTAAATAAGTAAAAAAAAAAAAAAAAAAAAAAAAAATCACCCTTTAAATAATAGGTCCTTTCAGCATTTTATTTTTTAGATTTCCTATAGTACTTTTCAAAAAAGAGTTTGCCTACTACTTTATTAAGGTAATTTTCAGTCCCACAAATCTTTTAAGTGAAACAGATACAGAGAGCTGCTTTAAAAGAAAGGAGTCTCTCAAGCTTCCTCTATTTCAGTCTTCTGAATAGAAAGGAATGTTTTCATGGCCATGTAAAATTCCAATCTGAAAAGATTATTTCATTATTTGAGCCTTTCCATTTTCAGACCAAGAGTAAATCTTAAAAGTTTATAAATAACAAGATCGGGTGGCTGGCTCATCCTTGTGTCTTCTATACATATTGCATGGATCCATTCACCACTGCCTTCCAAACTGCAGATGCTGGCATGTGTGACAGATATCATCCATGAAGGCTCTGCTAGAAGAATTCCTTTTGCTGAAGAAGTATGATGTTTTACCAGTTGAAAGAAATCTGGGCAATTAGAGAACAATTAAACCGGTCTCCCAATATCAAGACACCTGGAGTCACAGAAGGAATCCACCAAGGAAAAATGAAAACTTGCCAAAGGCACCAAAGTTCACATCCTACCCATTGTAGATGATAAGAACTTCCTGGAATCAAATCCTACCCTTGGCATCAAAGACACTAAGAGAAAACTATCTTAATGCCATGGGAAAAATCTAGCAAAAGGCTATTTTGTCAAAATACTACTACTCTAGGGACTAGAAAACTTTTGGGTATATTAACATAGCTTCCAAGGGTATTATATCTTGAAACTTATACTCATTCATACTTATTTTATTAAAGAATGAAGCCTATATTTGACATAAAACCGTAACAATACTACTATTATTGCATATTCTAGAAGATCTAATATGAAAGCCTAGTATTTGAGGTAGGCAAAAGACCAAAAAGTTCTCACTAACAGGGTAGGATAAAACCTGGACATCTACTGTATAAATTAAAGAGATTCCAGATGTCCATCTTGGCAAAAGATGAAATACAGAAACTTTCAAATTACTAGAATATAAGAGCACTTAGAAGTCCACTATTACCATAAAGGCCAAAATACATAAATACTTCCTTTTAAAATTTCTGTGGACTACATAAGCATCCACCAAATCACGTGCCCCAAGTCATTCTTTACTTATCTGGAGAGGAAATTAAATAAAATTTAGGTTTCTCGAATGGGCACTTGTTAGCACTCACAGAAAAACAGATTGTGGCCCCACCTGGTTCTTATACGAACCCATGGAGTTTACCAATAGAATAAAATGGGCAATGGAAGGACACTCCAATCTAAAAATAAAACCAAGTAATAATGGAAAGCACCCACTTGTTTATTATCCTTTCCCTCTCTCTCCAGAAGCTGGATATTCTGTCTCCAAGGGTTCAGTGGAGAAAGTGGACCCCTGACGTCAAAAGCTCTCCGTGGTCTTGGCTGTATCTGTGGTTCTAGGATCACTCCTTGCACCTCTGGTAGGAGAGAAGCACTGAAATAGAGAGCTGAATATAGATTTAAGAAAAAATTCTTATTAAGAAATTACAATCTCTGGTCATTTGAGTTTGTAATGACTTATCCTCAAGACAAAAAGGAGCTAACTTTGGACATACTTTATCACCTTAATTCGAATTTCATAAGTCTGTCACCACAAATGATTAATTCCTCAGTAACTTATTAAGACGGGACTTGTATTGGTCTAAGCCATAACACATTCTGTGACAAACCACTCAACTTCAAGTGGAAGACCAAAGCAAAAACAAAAAACAAAACAAAACAAAAAAACTTTATGAGTTATGACTAGAAGGAAGACTATAGTTGTCTTAAAAGGACAGGGAAAAGGCACTCAGCCTCAGATAAAACCAAAAGAGTCCCAGTCAATTCTTCTGCCAAAGAGAAGAAGATGCATTGAAAAGTAGAAACAGGAATAATCAAGCATATTAACAGGGATATCACTAAACTTTCAGACTACCTCAGAAGCTGAATTATCAGTTTTCAAGGGTTCAATAATTTAAAGAATTAAACATACTACAGGCCAATATTATAGCAATACAAGGCTAATCCCACTTTTATCAGAGCAATGACTACTGTCATTGATATAGGCCTATTCTTCAAGCATTCATCTTTAAAACTGTGAGGGGAGAATAGTAGGTATAGGTAATCCAGATTCAAAATCTTTTTAAATGCATGATCATTTGCTCTGGGTCAAGATGGGCTAGGAATAACCATTAATGGCCACAATGTAGAAATTAAAGCTATAAGATATATCCAAATAATAGATGATGGTAAAGACATTGGAAAATAGCTTTATTATAGGAAAAAGTAAACAGAAAGAAGGAAGTTCAAAGCATATAGCATCAAGGAAAAGCTGAAAGGAGAATAAGATAAGTAGATATATATATATATTTAAAGTTACAGGGATCACAAGATAAATCTTAAAACTGTTGCCTCTGGAAAAAGGATCAATTATTCTTTGTGATCCAGAGTGATGTATCTGTACTAAATTTCAGATCTCATTCTAAATATAAAGGTGCTGCATAACCCTGCTCTGTGGAATTAAGTCACTAACAGTGGAATAGGGCAATCCCTCATATCCTATTTCTGGGACATGTTACATTTTGTGATAAATTTAGAAAAAATACTACCACAAATCTCCCACTCACACCAACTGGTTATTGCAAGTTTTCCTTACCTGTTACTGGAACGAGGATTTTGCTTTCTTGTTCTCTATCAATCAACCAACAAAGGTTATATCTCAGCACTAAGAAAGTAGCAACCAACCAAAGTTAGTGTTTTAATGCTTTGACTTCCTCTTGGCTCTGGCAGCCAGTCTGAGCATATATCCAAAGCTGAAAAGGAACGGTTATTCCATTACCCGACAACATTTACACTAAACTTTTTTAAAGCCTAAAGATGAAAAGAATGAGCTTAAGAACTGCTGCTTAAGAACATATCCCACACTCTGTACAAGTAAGAACTGATTACAGTTTGGCCTAACAAAAGACAATCTGTGAATTTGAAACATCAAATCTGTAATTTCCAAAAATTAAAGGAAAGAAATGAAAAAGGACATCTAAATGAGTTACGAAGGTGTAACTGCCATCTAGGCAAGTTATCAAACAAGCAACAATGGAAGTACTTCATGAGTCTAAGTAGAAGCTCTTTTTTTATTTAAAGTTTCCAACACATTTTAAGTTCTACAAAGCCTTTTAGTTTTAAGGAGACTGAATTTTTACATAGGTGGGTTAAAAAGTATTTTAGAGTATTATCTATCACACTGAGGAGATAAATAAGGGATGACAAGGAGAAAAGAGACAAATTAGGAAAAAGATTTGAATACTGAGTATCTTAAGAAATACCTTCTAATTAGATGGTTCCAAGAACCCAAAACCCCCAAAGAGATAAGCAAAGTACTCCACAATAATTCTTTAGGGATGGCTCTTTCACAGATAAAAAATGCTTAAAATTAGTGTATCAGAGCTACCTCACATACTTTTCTCTGTATCTATATGTTGCAAATACCTTCTACCACCGTGCTTTTTAAATTAGTAATCATCTTTCAGTCCTTTAAAATCTATTTTCTTGACAAACCACTTTTTCATCTACAGTATTTCAATATAAACCACAATAATTGCTTAAGACTTCCAAATTAATGCTTTCTATATAATACTTGTCTTCAATGATTAAGATAGTTAAAAATCTATGCATAAATTATAAACAAGTTATGATTTTCCCAACTTTTCAGTTTTATTCCAACTCTTGAATATCAGTAATAACTATCGGTGAGTGAAAATGGAAGCAAAAAGAAAAGCCCATTTTGAAAGTGAAAATATACACAGTAATTTTTTTTGAAGTTCACAAACCCACTTTACTTTGATGATAAAAAGAACCTCCAAGAAATACTATCTTGTACAGATTAATGCTGAACTAACTTTACAACTTCTCCATCAACATGAACTTTATATTACACAGCTCCAAAACCTTTGAGTTAGATATTACATGCTACAGAATATATATTAAAAAAAGATAACCACTTTAAAAAAAAATCCTTAAGTTAGATTACAGGGCATGTTAAGGGAAGAGTAGACTACAGAAATGACCCATTTATAAATGTCTCCCACATCATACCACTTTGGAATTGCGAATTCTTTGGCTTAATTAGCAAAACTTTAACGTACTCATTATTCAGAAAAGTATAAACAGATTTCTTTAGGTAGCATTCTGAGATCACTGCTTGGAATTAATAATTTTTCAAGAACCTGGATATGAAAATGTATCCTTTATACAGAAACTTTCAAAATGTGGTCATTATTCAAATAAGAAAAAGTGGCCTTTGTAAGATTAACGCAAGTGTAAGAATGATACAACAGGACCTTACCAAATTCTATTTTAATGAACAGCATCATTCCCTGTGGTATTTTAAAAGGAAAAAACTAAGTATTCTACTTTATGACTAATATTGTAACCACTGAAGAACACATTTCAAACCAAAGCTAACAAAGCAAAACAAAAATGCTGAGATGGTCTATTAATCTACCACAGTATCAATAAAATCATTTTAACATTTACAATAAATACAAATTTTTAAAAGTCTTACTGAACATCTAGTTACAATCGAATCAGAAACAAATCTAAGTATTAATACCACTGAGAACTTTTTCTTAGACAAAAGACTTTGCAATATTTGTTTCTAATGCTAAATTACTAAAGGACCACATATGACTTACTACCTTTTTCTAACATCAAAAGAAAAACGGAAGGCTACAGTTATGTTTACACAATCAAATGGAAGTAACCATTCTACAAAGACCATAATTTCAACTCACTTGGCTTTAAATCATCTAAAGTTAAACCTGCTAGTTTGTAAATGTGTGATTAATCAGAAAATATGACATTCTACATGAGTTTGAAGCATAACATCTTTTCCTTATCTTTATCACTCATCGGAAACAGTTCTAAGACATTTGTATAAAATTACTTCTTTCACAAATTCCTCTAAAGTGTTCCAAACAGTTCCATTTGGCAGTAAGAAGAAAAGTAAAGAATGCCTTTAACAAAAGCAATCTTTGTATCACCAGTCCCTAGAAAAGTGCTTGGCACAGAGTAGACAATTCATTAAATATTTCACTATATATTTTGGAGATCATCATTTATGTGATTAATTTTTCAATATGGTCAGCAGAAGATATAATCCTGAGATAGTATGATGAAAGTCAAATCATAACAGCTATCATAGCTGTTCTAGTTTCTTTCTAGAGACTTAAAGTGACTATCCAAAAGTATTACTGAGATTCAAATTATCGCACTAGATTTAAAAGTCAAGTTTTGTTAAAAGATAAGCAATAGATAAGTAAGCCAAATGTGTCTTCATGGTCTACTAAGGTAAACAATGAAGTAGAATGAAAAAGAATTCATCATAGAAGGTGTTTTTCAAGCAGTTAAACCACTACATAAGATAAAAGCAGTGACTAAAAATATATCTCTATAAACTGTCAACTGCAAAAATGGATAAAAATGTAACCTCAGAGTCAAGGCCAAGCACAAAAATGCTTTAAATTGCCTGATTCTTCTGAATGAAAAAACTTTATCTCACAAAAAGAAATAGTGAAAGAAGTTTATTTCTTTTAATTTATTGAAAATATAAATTCAAAGTCTTTACTTCTAGGACTACCAACAGATCACCCACAGAATGTCCACCTCCCGCTTCGTATGCTACAGCTTACTGAAAGCAATTTTAAGAAAATCTCTAATTTATTCTGGCAATACAGTATTTCTTTCATAAGTAGCCTATTAAATACATTTCACCTCTATAATACCTTTGCCTGTTTATTTCTCTGGTAGGAAATATCTGGCTTTGTTCTTATGATGGTCAGGAAATTCTAAAGTACATATAGATCATATTAAATGAAAGAATTTGTATTTCTAATTCTTTTCTTATGTCAGGACCTTGGATGGTGCTACATTCATAAGCTGACTTTTAAAAAAAGTGAGTATAAAAGACTAGCAAGAAATACATTTATTATGTTTTATGAATTAGACTACTTTCGCATTTAAAATCTTTATCTATTTGTGACCAAGTGGCATACTACTTAATAAAACAAAAAGATGCTAAAGAATTAAATTTGAAAATCTCTGAGCAAGCAAAAATCATCAACGGATGCTAAAATTAAAGGGTAAAAGTACATGAGAAACAGATTCAGTCTCTCTCTTTATAAGATGCTTATTAGTTACAAAGAAACAATAGTAATCTCATAGTTCAGAAAAACGATATGCAACTTAAACAAGTGATAAAGATGACAATACCAGCTAAGGGATAAATCAACAGTATGTACCTGTTGATATAAAGCACTGATAAGGACAAACCACCATTTGTGTGGTATTCTGCCCCAAGTACACATTCTCAAACTGATTGTGAGAGCATATGAATAAATACAGATTGGGAGCCAATCTAACTAGTTAGTACCCTTCAAAAATGTCAAGGTTATGAAAGGCAATGAAGTAACTG